AATGATGTCTGACCTCCTGATATATGCCCAAACTGTACCTTCGGAGTCTGTCAGTAAGCTGGAAGAAGTAGATATCAAAGAACTATATTTTTTTAACATTGATTGGTTCCAGTTGTTCATTCATTGACTGATCGTGGACTAGCCAATATAGTTCTGAAACAAGGTGTGATGGTTTAGATATAAGGTGCTCCCCAAAAGCTCATGTGGGAGACAACATAAGTTTAGAGGTGAAATGATTGGGTTTAGCCTAATCGTTGCACTGATTCCCCAATAGGGATTAATTGGGTGGTAACTGTAGGCAGGTAGAGTGTGGGTGGAAAAGGTAGTCATTGGGAGGGGGGCATGCCTTTGGGATACACATTTTGTTCTTGGTGTGTGGAGTTCTCTCTCTACTTCCTGGTACAATGTCCTGAGCTGCTTTCCTCTGCCACACCCTTCTGCAGTGATGTTCTGCCTCATCTTGGACCAAAGCAGTGAACTCAACCATCCATGGACTGAGACCTCTGAAACCATGAGCCCTACAAAAATTTTTCTTCCTCTAAAATTGTGCTTGTCATGTCTTTTGGTCTCAGTGGCAAAAAAGCAGACTAAAGCACGAAGTGACTGTGAAAATAGTAAATGATGAAGATGATAATACTGCAGAGAACATACACAATACGGTAAAAATGTGAGACAGGTTATTGAAGGACTAGGGCAGTGTGCACTCACAACAAGAAGTCATGTTGGCTTATAGACTCAAAGAAAGATTTCTAAGACAATAACTGTTAATGCACCAGATGGATTTGAAGGAAAAATTTTTAAAAAGCCACCCTGCTAAATGCCTCCTACTCCCTAGAAGACCCACATACTGGTCCCTCATCTTGCCTAAAAAATAAAATAAAATCCAGGGGGCTTGGGATATAGCTCAGTTGGTAGAGTGCTTGCCTCGAATGCCCAAGGCCCTGGGTTCAATCTCCAGCACCATCAAATAAATTAATAAATAAATAAGTAAATAAAATCCAGCACACTGAAGCCTCTTAGTAAAAATGTAGTCTAGCATTGTAGGCAGAGACAGAAGGCTGCTGCTGTTTGTTGTTGATGTTGTTTAACGGCAGATATAGGTGTGCTGGTGATGTCCCTGTCTGCTTAGTTACCCTCAACACATGCTAGTTTTCCTGCATTAATGGTGTGTCATATGTTTTGGTTTGGTTTGATTTGGTTTGGTTTTTTTTGAGACCAGTCTTGCCATGTCACCCAGGCTGGCCTCAGACTCCAGAGCTCAAAGGATTTCCCTGCCTTGGCCTCCCAAGTAGCTGGGACAAAGGGTTGAGCTACTTCGCCAACCCTACTATGTCATGTTTTTCTGTTAAATACTTATATGCAAATAAGTATATGTAAATAATTGCTTATTAGTAGTCTATACATTCAGAGTCAGGAATAATGGTGATGCCTACCAACCACAGGCCTTTAGACTTTGACTAACTTATACTATTGACTTTTCTGGTTCTCAAGTTTGTGATGGCCTGTTGTAGGACCTTTAAACCTTCATAATCACACAAGCCAATTCCCACAATAAATATTCTCTTATATATTTATATGTATCCTATTGATTCTATTTTCCTGGAAAACTCTGACTCAATTACACTTTTAAAAGTCAGATCAGGTGAGGATATCTGCCACACACTTAATCAAGAAAAGTTCAAATTCAGCATATGAAATATTATTTTAAACTAGAAACCAAAAAGAAAAAGACATGAATAAACACCCTATAAAAGCAAGAATGGCTCTCAGTGGATTGATAATATTGTCTCTGGATTGTGAATGTTTTCATTTTTGCTTAATCTTTATAATATAGGCAGATAGTTAATAGATAGGAAATTTAGACATATTAGAAGCATTGTAAAACAATATAGAAATATACATAGATAACATTTTAACCTGACAAAAAGAAAAACAAAATAAACCCCCCAAAAGAGGAAAGAGGAATCAAAAAGAAAAACTTAAAATTCATAAAATGAGAAACTGATAGTTTGCAGAAATGAGGGGAAAAAAATTCCAAAGCAAAATATTAATGAAACTCTCTGTCCAGCATTACCAAGGAAAGGAAAACAAACAAAAATATGAAGAATGAATAATACAATCTCATAACATATACAAACAAAATAAATAACAGGAGTTAATATCTCTGAAAGAATTGCTATGTACCACACACTGTTTTAGACAGTATATTATTTAATTTTCACAATTCCATACATAAAGTAAATTTTATTGTTATTCCCATTTCCCCAATGAAAATATCATAGCCAGAGAGGTAGAACTTCTCCAAGAAAGTCAGTAAGGACACAGCGGTGTGGGAATTCAGTGAGTCTAGTACTTGGGTGTATCTGTCAGTCCTTCCTCATCACTGCCTGTTTTCAGTCATCTCATGGAGTATTAGAGCCCAGAAGACCCTTACAAACCACTGAATGTATTTTCCTTTTTATGTAAGAAAGTTTTTAAATTGTTCTAAAAAATGTAGTAAATGATAGGCAGGAAATTGGGGAAGCCAATATAGATAGTATTGACCTAGAAAGCAGGAACAAAATGTCTAAGAGAATATTATGTGCAACTCCATGGCAATAAATTTGAAAAGCTAGAGAAAGGAAACAATTCTACAGCAAAATGCACATAATCAAATTGATTTAATTAGGAGGGAAAGAACTAAAATAAGAACTAATAATCATATAAGATACTGGAAAAGTAATTAGAGATCTACCTTTTAAAAAGGCATCAATCTCAGATACTATTTTACAATTGACTATATATCTTTATTTTTGTATTTTTTTTTCAGGTATGAGGATTGAATCCAGGGGCACTTTACCACTGAGTTACATCCCACCCCTTTCTAATTTTGAGACAAAGTCTTGCTAAATTGCCTAGGCTGCCCTCAAATTTGTAATCTTCCTGATTCAGCTTTTTGAGTGGCTGGGATTTCAGTCCATGCCACCTTGCCTGGCCTGGAGTAATTTAAATAGGAAAGGAATATTTACAGCTGTCTCAAAATAAAAAATAAAAAGGGCTGGGGATGTAGTTCAGTTGTAGAGCACCCCATGGGTTCAATGCCCCAGTACCACAAAAGAAAGAAATAAGAAAGAAAGATTTGCTTTTCTAAAATGGTATATATGCTGGGTGCTGTAGCACATGCCTGTAATCCTAGCAGCTTGCAAGGCTGAGACAGGAGAATCACAAGTTCAAGGCCAGCCCCAGCAATTTAGGGGGGTCCTAGGCAAGTTAGGAGACCCTGTCTCAAAATTAAAAAGGGCTAGGTTGTGACTCAGTGGTTATGCACCCCTGGGTTCACTCCCCAGCACCAATTTTATTAAAATGAAAATAAAATTATATATACTGGGGCTGGGGTTGTAGCTCAGTGGTAGAGCACTTGCCTAGCACATGTGAAGCCCTGGGTTCAATCCTCAGGACCACAAAGTAAATAAATAAATATATTTTTTTAAATTGTATTTACTAGCCAGACATGGTGGCCCATAACTGTAATCTGAGGCTGAGGCAGGAGGACTGCAAAATTCAAAGTTGGTCTCAGCAAAAGCAAGACATTCAGCAACTCAGCAGGACCTTTTCTCTAAATAAAATACAAAATAAAGCTGAGGATGTAGCTCAGTGGGTTGAGAACCCCTGACTTTAATCCCAGTACCAAAAAATAAAAATAAAAAATATAAAGGGGGCTGGGGTTATGACTCAGCGGTAGAGCACTCATCTAGCATGTGCAAGGCCCTGGGTTCCATCCTCAGCACCACATAAAAAAATAAATAAATAAAATAAAGGTACTGTGTCCAACTACAACTAAAACATAAATTATTTTTTTAAAGGGTTGGGGATGTGGCTCAGTGGTTAAGCACCCTTGGGTTCAATCCCTGGTACCCGCCCCACCAAAAAAAAAAAAAAAATGACATAATACTGTTGGGTGTGGTGGCCCACACCTGTAAGTCCAGTTACTCCAGAGGCTGAGACAGGAGATTCACAAGCAGGCCAGCCTTAGCAGGTTAAAAAAAGGGTTGGGGATGGTAAAGTGCCACTGGGTTCGATTACCAGTAATGAAAAATAAAAATTCCATATATGGCTGTTCAAAAATAAATAAATAAATAATTCCACACTATAGGAAAAGAAGAAAAAACTCCAATTTTTTTTTTCTAAAACTAGCTTGCTTTTAATATTAAAACTTTATAAATATAACACAAAACAATCAATTTTATCTTTGAATACAGAGGCCAAGAGTCTAAATACACAAATCAAATCTAACAGTCTATTAAAATGAAATTATTTCATAATAAAAAAGAATGTCAAGATTCAAGAAAGGTTTAACATTAAGAAATCTGTCTTCAATTCACCACAGAAACAAAAATAAAGTCCATATGGATTGTCAAGAGCTTTTTAAGAGGCATTTGATGAAAGCTAGTAGGGTTTTTGTTGTTGTTCTGTTTTTGTTTTTTAGTACCAGGATTAAACACAGGGGCACTTAACCATTGAGACACATCCCCAGCCCTTTTTATTTTTAATTTTGAGACAGAGTCTCCATAAATTGCTTTGGGCCTTGCTAAGTTGATGAGGGTGGCCTCGAAATTGGGATCCTCCTGTCTAGCCTCCCAAGCCTCTGGGATTACAGGCATGTACCACAGTGCCCGGCAAGACAGTTTTTATGAGGTGAAGATTGTAAAGAATAGGAAAGTTTTCCTCAAGGAGCCAATATCTTCCAGTTAGTTAAGGAATAACTTTATTATGAAGAGTACAAATGTCTATATTCATTTGTGATCTATATTCAGAAACCTTGAAATATAAAGGAAGCATCACAACAAAAGCATAACTACATTTTGCCAGTGGGTCTAGTCGTGCAACAAACAGACAGTCCCTTCCCACTTAGTGTCTAAGACACCATCTATTCTTTCTGAGGCAGGTACTGTGCCCAGGAAGCACCACATACAGTAAGTTCCCTCTGCTTTCTGAAGACACGTGGCAGTGAGTTGAGAAGATCATTCTATTGTTTTCCTGCTCCAAACTTTTCTTAAGGCCTCCTTTACATCCTTGTTCCTCAAAGAATAAATTAATGGGTTCAGCATCGGGATCACCACCGTGTAGATCACAGCAACTGTGCAGTCCTGGGTCAGTGAGTAGCTGGACCTGGGACGCAGGTACATAAAAAGTGTTGTGCCAAAGAAGAGGCAGACGGCAGTAAGGTGGGAAGCACAGGTGGAAAATGCCTTGAACCTGCCCTGGGCTGAGCTCATTCTCAGGATGGTGATGAGGATTAAGATGTAGGAGATCAAGATGGTGAGAGTGCAGCTCAAAAGGTTGAAACCTGCAAAAATGAAGAGCAGGATCTCACACAGTGAAGTGTCCACACAGGACAGGGACAGGATGGGTGGTCCATCACAGAAGAAGTGAGTGACCACGTGAGCACCACAGAATTTCAGACTGAAGATACAGCTTGTGTGGATAAGAGAATTAAGAAACCCGACACTGTAGGAGCCCACAATCAGATTGGCACAGACCTCAGGAGACATGATGGTTGGGTAGAGCAGGGGGTTACAAATAGCGGCATAGCGGTCATAGGCCATGGCTGCGATGAGATAGCACTCGCTGGTGGCGAAACCCGCATAGAAGAACATCTGAGCCATGCAGCCCAGATAGGAGATCACCCTTCTCTTGACCAAGAAGTTCACCAGGGTCTGGGGGACAACTGTGGAGGAATAGCAGAAATCCAAAAAGGAAAGGCTCTTCAGGAGGGAGTACATGGGCGTGTGCAGGGTGGCACTCACATGGATCAGAAGGAACATGACCAAGTTCCCCAATAAAGTGATGGTGTAGATCCCCAGGAACACCACAAAGAGCAGCCTCTGGAGCTGAGGGTCACTGGTGAGACCCAAGAGCTCAAACTCAGTCCCTCGGCTCAGGTTTCTCCCTTCCATGTTTTTCCAGTGCTCTGAAGTGAGCGTGGGATTGTGCTCCAGGAAGCACCACAAGTGTGGGCACTACTTCGTGTCTTGGTGAACGCCCAGGGGCTCTTACTGGGTTTAGTTCTGCCCCAAGGACCACCTTCTTGAGATTAGTCTTTCTGAAGAAATCTGACTTTGCAGATAGGACTCTGTCCTAGATGGGGTCTTCTTATGGGATTGGTTGTATGGTTATATTAGTAGGTTATATTAGTACTTGAGCAACAACAGAAAACTATAAAAGGAATATACACAATTTGGTCTCACAGAGATATTAAAAATTTCTGAATAATAAAACATTCACTCACCAAATATATATTCTCAGCTTTCTATATGCATAGCACTGTGTTCTCCCGATCAGAAATTCAAGAGTGCCTGACCCCTGGAAGTTTGTATTCTAGAGATAGAGAATTTTATGTAAACAAAGGTTCTGGTGTCAAACTGTCAAGGTTCAAAGCTGGGGCTTTATCACTAACTAAGTAGTTGTGTGAATTTGGAAATGTAAATTAACCTCCCCAAGTTTGCATTTTCTCATCTGTAAAACAGGAATCAACGGTACTTATCTCAAAATATTGTAAAAATTCAATGAGCCCTTGAACAAAGGACATGTTGAGAAAGTCCAAAGAGTATTAGCTACCATTGTTCTTTTTGGGGAGATAGATAGACCTAATACATAAATAAACATAATAAATGAGATAAAACAGCAACAAAATTTAGCAAGTAACCAACCACCAAACAATATAGACAAAGAAACATGTGCCAATCAAGAGTGACTGAGAGGGGCTGGGGATGTGGCTCAAGCGGTAGCGCGCTCGCCTGGCATGCGTGCAGCCCGGGTTCAATCCTCAGCACCACATACCAACAAAGATGTTGTGTCCGCCGAAAACTAAAATAAATAAATAAATAAATATAATAACAAAAAAAGAGTGACTGAGAAGGATTTCAGAGGAGCTGAAGGTGGCTCACTGGCTCAGCTCACGGGGCTGAGGATGTGGAGGAATGAGAGTGGTGTAAAGAACAAGCTGAGATTGTGAATTTGGGAGCATCAACCAAGAGGAAATCACCACCCATTGTACATGAAGGCACCAGTCATTCCCAGGGAATATAACTACCCTGGATGCAGAAGCTATTGAGCCACAGGGAAGGATCAGCCCCTCTCCAAGACTAAAGCTCTGTCAAAATGCCTTTTCTGTTCAGAATGGACATAGCTGAACAAGCACCACCTAAGTATTATACTCTCCCTTGCTCCATTGGCTCCTCTTCCACTGTGTCCTGAATCACCTCTGGGTCCTGCAGTGGGTTAAATCCTCTTCTGTGAGGACCCTCAGTTGTAAAGACTTGAACACCAGAAAGCATGACTGGGAAAGACAGAGAAGGACAAAATTGAGCCACCTCTTCTGGCCCTGAGGAGAATAAGTAAATAGTACATCTTGAAAGAAATTGTGAGGATTCAGGAGGGGAAAGAGTTTTATTGAGCAAAGATTCTGGCAGCTGATACTTTATATAAATTCTAATATTGTAGAATGTGGCAGTACTAGATTTGGGCTGCAAATACATTGGCCCCATTTGGTGTCTAAGGCCAACTCAGCAACAAGGTAAATTACAGGACTTCAGAGGAATGGACAGCAGAGCTCTCAGGGTAGAAATAACTTACAGGAACTTTAAGAAAATAATCAGATTGTCATTAAGAGTAGAGACCCAGCTTCTCATCTTCTTTCCTCAATAGACTGTTTCAGTTTAGGCAACAATCCTGCAAGTATCTCTCTGAATAAAAGAACAGACAGGGTGCCTGTGCTGGGATGGAGTGATAGGAAAGGTTAGGGTAGTGTGCTGGGTAGTACAGCAGATAGCTGATCAGAGTCTCCAGATTTATTACTTGATTTAAATCTACTTTCTCTCCTCGTCTTTCCTCCCTCATCTCCTTGCTCCAATCTACACTAAATTCAAAATTCTTCAAGCTATAGAATAAGTTATGGAAGAGATTATGGAGAAATTATTGTCTCTGACAGTTTTTCAAAGAATTCTGGAATAACCACTATTTTCTGTTGACTGCACTTCATACCCGTGAGTGAAAGTAGGAATAAAACTTAAAGGTGGAGCTGAGGATACAGCTCAATTGGTAGAGTGCTTGCCTTGCATGCATAAAGCCCCAGGTTTAATCCCCAGTAACACACACACACACACACACACACACACACACACAAATAAATAAATAAACACAACTTAAAGAAAAACTTATCATAAGGGAATAGATGGGGGAGTGAACTTTCTAGGAGTTAGGGCAAATGCCTGCAGCCAGCAATGCATGAGGAGTAGGCAGGGGACTTTATTTACCCCCGATTCCTTAATTTCCTCCCTGTGATAGCACAGTGAGAGAACATATGAAGGGCAAGCATCCAGGGAGTTTCTTTAAGCAACAAAAAAATGATTATCAAACAATAAAGTGCCTTGCCCAAAGTGCACTTGAGGAACTTGTATGTGCAGGTTGCAGGTCTGCATTGCAGAGAATTTGATCCATAGCCAGACATCAAAATCTGGTGATTTGGAAACAGGTAGTCTCTGAACCACACATTGAGAAAGACTAAACCAAGACTAAACTTGAAGGAGCAGACAAATCTTCCTAAACTGCAAATAAATATTCTTTCCTAACTTGCCAGAATTCTTTGGGTCCTGGGAAGTCAGATTGTGAGTAGGATGGTTGTCTTGGACTTTGTCTTCGCTCCAGAAGATCTATCAATAGTTAACAACTTTCAGACACCTGATGGTAATCCAACACCAGAGAATTTCCTCCTCAGAATAGTCAAAATATTCTTAAACAAACCATGTCATTCCAGGCATGCACATGACATGGTGGTAGAGCTGTTGCTCTGGTACTCATAACACTTGCCTTCAGTGGAAGATCCATGAAGACAAAGCCAGACTCCTCGTGTGCACTGACTGAGCCTGGGGACCAGAGCCTACTACTGGCTTTAACCTCTCACGTGGTAAGAGTAGTATGGTGACCCCACACTCCCTGTGAGCTCCTCACAACTTATCTTGTGCTCACAGAGGACACCCTAGAGCCATCTTTTCCCTGGGGCAGCTCACAACTAAGAAGAAGGATGTGTTCATTGATGAGATTTTAGGAGGCAAATGAGGAAATGAGAATAATTGGCCCCTGGTAGACCCATTAAAGTGTTTGCAAAGTTAGTCTCTACCAAGAGTCTTTGCCCCCAAGGAATCAGGGGACTGAGAAAGTGGAAATGACAGGAATGGATCCACATCAAATCCCCCTAATGATAGGTTGTTAGCCTCAAAGAACTGCTGTACCTTAACTCTAAACTTAACTCCTTCATGAATATCAACCGCATGTACTCTATACTGGAAAATCAAGTTTTTCTCTCTTCTATGACAGTTACTCAGTGTATATTTTTTGCCCTAGGTTAGACCTGAGGACTTTGTTTTTCAAGATTATAATAAAATCAGAGATATGCTATATAGTTCCCAAATATTAAGGAATTTTCTAGGGATCTTTCAGCTGTCAATTTCCTACTGAGTAACATGGGGCTTAGTGCTTTATTTTACTGTTTATATTTATGTGGTCAGAGAACATACTGTGTACGACTTGAATGTTTTTCAATTCATTGAGACATGTTTTACAACCAGATCATGGTATATCTTAGTGAATGTTCCATGCCTGTTTGAAGCCAGCCCTGGTGGTGCACATCTCTCATCCCAATAGCTTGGGAGGCTAAGAGGCAGGAGGATGGCAAGTTCAAAGCTAGCCTCAGAAACTTAGTGAGACCCTGTCTCAAAATAAAAAAAAATAAATAAAATGGAGTGGGGATGTGGCTCGGTGGTTAAGAGCCCTTGGGTTCAATCTTTGGTACCAACAATAACAGGAAAAAAAGAAAAGAAAGAATGTACACTCTGCTGTGTTGTGAGGGCTCTATAAATGAAAGTTAGGTCAAGTTGGTTGGTAGTGTTTAAGTTTATTGATAGTGTTGAGTCTAATGTATCATTTATGGGTTTTGTTTGTTTGTTTTTTAATTTTGGATACTAGAGATTGAACCTAGAAATGATTAACCACTGAGCCATAACCAGCCCTTTATTTTGAGACAGGGTCTTGCTAAAGTTGCTTAGGGCCTCACTAAATTGCTGAGGCTAACTTTGAACTCAAAGTCTTCCTGCCTCGGCCTCCTCTCCCCAGCTGCTGGGTTTACAAGTGTGTGCCACCACACCCAGCTTCCTTTCTGTGTTTATGCATGCTTGTTCTGCCAATTAATGAAAGGAGAGTGTGTTGAAATCTCTAACCATAATTATGGATTTACTTATTGCTTTTTGAAGTTCTTCAGTTTTTGTTTCATTTATTTTGAAATTCTGTTACAAAGTGCACATTAAAAAAAATTTTTTTTTTTAGTTTTTTCGGTAGACACAACATCTTTATTTTTATGTGGTGCTGAGGATCGAACCCATTGGCCCGCGCATGCCAGGAGAGCACACTACCACTTGAGCCACATCCCCAGCCCCAAAGTGCACATTTTTAATAATTTTTTTGTAGTTGGAGGTTGACAGAATGCCTTTATTTGTTTATTTTTATGTGGTGCTGAGGATCAGATCCAGTGCCTCACACATGCTCTGCCACTGAGCTACAGTACCAGACCGTGAAGTACCCATTTAATATTGTTCTGTTCTCTTGACAAATTTTCCCACTTATTATAAAATGACCTTCTTTGTGTCTGCTAATATTTGTTCTAAAATAAATTTTGTCTGATATTAATACAGTCACTACAGGATTATTTTGATTACCTTTATGGTACCATTTTCAATCCCTTTATTGTTAACCTATTTGTATAGTTATAGTTATCATGTATTTCTTATGGGAAGCATATAATTGGTTCTTGATTTTTTAAATTTAACTAGACAATCTCTGACTTTTAGGTGGTTATTTAAATAATTTACCTTTAATATGATATTGGTATCCTTAGATTTGAATTTATCATCTTGCTGT